ATGCTCAAGGGCAAGTCGAATCGTTCGCCTGGCTACAGGAAAACCTCAGAGTTTGACCCGAAGACGCATATTTTGTTTGGCCCGAATCTGACACATAGCTCGTGACTCATGAACCTTGAGATGTGAGAGATCGATTCTTCAGAAACAGGACTCCAGGAAAGGGGGTCCAGGTGACGAACCCACCTCGCCCCGCCTGGAGGTGAGCGACAGACACGATGGCTGGCCTCCTCCTATTGTACGGTTGCCTCGGCTGGCACGGGGTTCGACAGACTTTTTTTGTGACGGGTCCTCGTGGTGGTTGCTTCACTTGAACCCCACTGAAGGGTTCCCCTGGAACAAGGAATCTTCAAGTAAACTTCTTCATCTCTGATCTCGGTGAGTCGTCGCAAAGGGTTCGAGGCTCTCCTATCGAGCGTCTTGGCGTGTGCCACCGGAAAAGGGTATGAACAAACCTTTTGACATAGACACACTAGATTACGAAGCATCAGGGAATTGGACATTCCGGAAGGATAATCATGACAGAGCACACGCGTTCCTTGGAGGCCTGTGTTTAGCTTTCTGTGAGAATGCTGGACAATGTCAAAACTTGTGATCATTGCCATTGGTGGCTTGATGATTAAGAAAGGGCTTCCCATTTACCCTCTACAAAATCCAAGGGTTCAAGCCCCCAAACCACCGATCCAAGCCACCGACCAAGGGCTTCCTTGACATAAAAATCGCTTTTGGGCCAAGAAAGCGGTGCCTGGGTGCCAGCGGTGTCGACGGAATTCTCCGCGATCCGCCAAGACCCCCAGTGTCTTGCTCACAAGCAAACGGCTTTTGTTTTCCATCTTGGTGGCCCTTTACAGGGATCCATGACAGCTTCCCTCTGAATTCGTTCTTTGTTTGAACTGGAGGCTAGGGCTGGAACCAAAGGTTCAACCCCCAAGCCACCGATGCACCCCACGGCGTCTCAGGGCTTGACATGTCGGCCGAGCCGCCCTCGAAAAAAATAGCCGCTCAGAGCGGACATGCACTCCTCACAGCTCTTCTCGTCTTTGAAGTTCACGAAGGCATAGCCCACGTTGTTCTTGGTCGCTGAGTCGATCGGCAGGTACAGGAAGTCGTAGGCTCCTGAAATGAGCATGGTAACAAAAACCCGGCGCAAATCCTGATACTCCATTTGAAATATGGGATCCTGCTCGGCCAAACCCGGAAATCCAGGTCCAACATTTGGAAAAATATGCAAAATCCCCGCAACAAAGGGCCAACATCATGGTGAGCTCGGTTCACCCGAAGGTGAGCTCAAACCCAAATGCTTGGCTTCCTTTTGAGGTCCCATCAAAAGGCCCCTAATCTCAGGTTCCCAAGAAGTTCCCCCTTGTGGCTTTAAACCTCCGGACTAGCGTTTTCGTTGCGAAAGCAACCCAAAGGCGTATAGTAAACTCCGCGCACTTCCATGTTTCTCGGTGGTAGTTTTCACCATGGCCACCCCTCGCTTTACAACTCGGCGCGCAGGGACACTTGGCTGCTTGCGAAGGATAAAACGGACGCTAATGGACAGGCTCTGTCCCATGTCTGCCATGTCGCCCTTAGGGGTCTCCTGCAAAATCCAAGCTGTCCAACTCTGACATCAGAGTTTCGCGGTCCTTGGTATCAAGCACGTAGCCACTGATCAATTGTTGGAAGACATGGCAGCGCCCCCCAAATCCATGTTTTTTGAACATGTGAGTGACCAAGAGCTTGTCGGAAGCAACGCCGGTGTCTGACCCCTTTGAGTTGGAAATCATTCCCGAAGGCAAAAGGCCTGGCTTGATGGAGTAGGTGCCAAATAACGGGGGGGCCCTGAAAAATCGTGGTTTGCCTTTTGGTTTTACCTTGACCAAGCTTAACAAGGCCCAAGGCAGCTCGGGCAAGGAGGGCCAAGTCGCGTAAGCGTTTGGCACGTTGCGCAGCATCAGGGTCGTGACTTGCTTCGCCTCACCTTGGCGAATTCGTTCTTGCAGTTTGGTTTGGATGCGCCCTGGCTGCAACTTTGAAGATTGTCCTAGGAACGCCAAAGCTGATCCAGAAGCCCAAATCTCACAGGGGGCAGCCGGCAGCCCCGTGTTCCAAAACCTGAACAGTGGCTCAGAGCCCTTGGTGCATGACGTAAGGCCCTGGCCTTTCTCAAACTGCTCCTTGAGGTTCGCCCTCTTGGGCACCTCCCGAAACCAAAGCGGCAGAAGGGAAACCAGCTCCTGCTCTGGGTGGTTCCTTTCTTGACATTGCAAGCCCTTGTCACGCCTTGAAACCGTTGAAACCCTCAAGAAGACACGGCTTCACTACAAAGACCAAAAGTTCAGCTGGGTGTGTCTAGTTTGGAGATACCGTTCAAACACAAGAGTTAGTGTTGTTCCTCCTGCCTTCCCGGCAAAAAAAACAACAACAACAACAACTCCCCTCAACAAAAAGGCGAGCCATGCGAGCCACCCGGTTGGGACCAACCCCAACCGCAGCCATCGAAGTATGGACCTAATCGCCCCTTTGCCCAAAGCGAGGTTTGATTCGGGCCCGCCAGCTCGTGGCGCTTCCCACTGAGGGGCTTCCACGCCTTGGAATTCGGCGACTTCGGCGGAGAAGCGCACGGGCGAGCTGTAGGGGCACTTGGCCCGGGGGGGGGGGGGGGGTTGTGTCCGTACGGTGAAGTAACTATTTCCACATGTGGGTGGTTGTGAAATCCATTTCGAACCGTTCAGAAGCCCAACAGAAAGATTCGATTCCCCTGCAAAGCCATGGGTTCCGGTGGTTTCAAAGTGGTGCAGGATTTTGTCCATGCACAGTATCATGTTTGGACTCCCTTATGGTTTCGCGTGAACAATCCCCACTTCGCACCAGTTGCAGGTCCTTTCTCCCAGTATGTAGGGTTTCGTCCATGCAAGCTGGTGCAGTTGTTTCACCACTATAGATACTATAGGTGTTAAGTACCCTCGCAATAAACAGAACAATTGCACAGCACTTCCCCGAAGAAGGTGCAACCCTTCCAAACGGGGAAGACAAGCACTTCAATGCCAAGGGGCGACTTGGCGAGTCTCTTGTGGCTTCCCTCAAAAGGTGCTTCCATTTGATGAGGGAGCTTCCCTAAAATAAGAACTCACCTTGCTCCAGAAGACCAAGTGATTGGAAGGCGAGTTGGTCTTGCTGGCGCTCGTACCTAGCGGGAATAAACCGCTTTGGGATTTCCTTAAAGGAGACCATAGGCGATAGTGTTTTTCTCGGGGTGATCCCATTTATAATTATCATTCCCTGCCGAGAACGAACCAGCAAGTTTTAGTGGGCTCCAGTAGATCTTGCCTTGGGGACTCCCGCAGCTCTCTTGATTCATCCTTTCCTCTCCTTTGACATTAATACACCAGGATTCCCCCTGTGCGTTTGGGGCTACCCAAGAATACTCCCCAGGTAAAAAGGATGGGGTACACAATTGGAGCTTTTTTGGCCGTGGCACATAGCCTGAGCTCTTCTCCTCTGACTCGGCGTCCTTGTCCATGCCCGCCTGCTCCATCTGCTCCATCTGCTCCATGCACCATGCCTGGTATGCGACCCAGTCCTCTGTGGACCAGTCCGACCCTTCACCGGCGAATGGCCACCACATTGCCATGAGCGATGGGTCGTACCACTCGGCTGTCCCCTCGGCGGTCGTCGTCCACGTCGCCCTCTCCGCTCTGGACATGGCACTTGGCTCCGGCAGCTCTTGCTTCACCGCTGTCGGATTGAGCTGAGAATCTCTCCTTAGTGGTTCGTTGATCCCTTCCAAAAAGGTAAAAACAAAATTAAACTCTTAGTGGGAGATGTATCCCTTGCAAAAAACAGAAACAACCACAAGCTCTTAGTGGGAGATGTATCCCTTGCAAAAAACAGAAACAACCACAAGCTCTTAGTCGGAGATGTATCTCTTGCAAAAAACAGAAACAACCACAAGCTCTTAGTCGGAGATGTATCCCTTGCAAAAAACAGAAACAACCACAAGCTCTTAGTCGGAGATGTATCCCTTGCAAAAACAGAAACAACCACAAGCTCTTAGTCGGAGATGTATCCCTTGCTAAAAGAAGAAACAACCACAAGCTCTTAGTCGGAGATGTATCCCTTGCTAAAATCAGAGAGTTAAATTCTGAGATGTCAGCACCCGCTCACTCTAAAACTCTAACAGTCTAGCGCTGGGAATCACCAAGCTTCGGATTCGGATTCTGGGAGCTCTGACCGGAGTCCCCCTCTCCAGTCTTGTCATTCTGCGGGGCTGCAGTCCACTGGCCGGCTGAGTTGTACTTATTCCACGAATTCCATGCATATGCCGAGTCACGTCTGGAGCTCCATTTCTCTGACATGGCATCCCGCCCGGCTTACACCCCTTGGACCCTGGTGAAGCGAGCATCTCAACATCTCAAGCTGCGGGGATAGGACGCCAGTCAAGCCCTATGATACGACTTGTCACATTTGGATCAAAAACGCAGTTTGAGACAACCAACATCGGCCACTTTGGGGACATTCTTAGAGAAAGCCGAGCGTTGCAATTCAGAGAGTCTACTTCTCTGCACCGGAAGTGCAGAAACCCAGCCACAAAGACCAACCACATTTATCCTTGGTACCATTTACTCACTTGCCCAAGAGACCCAAACATAGAAGGTAAAGCTTTTGGGGCCGTTGCTTTCTTTGACTCAAATCGGAAAGCTGAAAGGTCAAAGGGTCGACTCGCTTTGGGCAACTGAGATTGTGGAATGTCATGCCTTCTCCAACACCCGACTTTCTTACCTAGAAAGTACACAAGAGTTTCGATTTCTCTACGGGAAGCTCATTTCTTGTTTGGCCCAAAAGGCCATACTTAAAACACCTTCTTATTAATGTGGGGGTTCCCCTCCAACAGTGACGAATCTTCACAAACACCAGGGACACCTCGATAATAATACAGAGGCTCATTAATCCGGGCTCAACATTGCCGGGAGCCCTGGGGGCATCAAACCGGCATGCAAGTTGATCAGCCCAGGCTCTGCCTCTGGCACATCGCCTCAGCGGCACGAAGCGTGCCAAACGCAGTGAGTCCCTTGACCGTTTGGTCTGGGCTGTCCTCGGCTCCCTGCTAGAAGTTGAACTTCTAGTGGGTTAAATGTTAACTGCTAACTAATAATAATGATAAGGATAATAATAAACATAACAACGCAGGTAAAAACCGTGAAAACCTGACAACCTATTTTAAGGTGCGGGAACCCTGAGGCTTCTCTACGACACGTCAATGACTTTCCGTTCAGAATGGAGCTCAAAAGGAAGGCACTCCAACATGTAGGCACTTCTAATCGTAGGATGCAGGACTTTGGATGCATGAGACTGCAGGTACTGCAGCATACAGGAGAATCCCGCATGTCCAAGAAATGTTACCGGTTTATCCAGGCCACGTTCTTGCTCGTCTAGCAGAAATGTGTCCAAAAGACCAAATTGACGGGAAACCAAGGGCGTAGGTTGACCCGTCGTGAATAGATCTGGAAAAAGGTTCATGCGGTGGATGGACGATATCCTGCACCACCTAAGAAACCATCCCTTGGCATTTACAGGGGAATCATCATTCCGGAGTTTCTTAGGTGGTGCGAGATGGATGTCGTCCATCCACAGTATCACCGAGCTGATGAAGCCGGACTCAGAGTGAGTTGATTCCATCGAAATGCATTCTCCGGTTAGCCCTAGGATTTGCATCTGACCGACGAAATGGCGACGGTCAAATAAGCGCCCGCAGGGCAAAAGCAAAACATGTCGGCTCGCTTGCCCAAAAAGACAAAAAGACGTAGAAGGTTGACCTTTTGAGGCCATTACGCCAAAATTGACCACAATGGGGAAACCCAACGGTTAAAATTCGCTTTGGGCCACTGAGATCAACTGCGTGCCGGTTCCCAGACTCTTTGGCCCCTTTGGCCCCAGCTGAAGGCTTTGATGTCCTCCTCCGTGGGCGATTGGCGGAACTGAGGGGGTCGATCCAGCGGCCCGCTGCGGCAGGTGATCCAGATCTTGTTCTTCTCAGCATCCACAGCCTGGGACATCGCTTCACACCCGCTCCCGATGACTTCTCGGGTTTCATCCATCTCGGCTCCAGTTTGTCCATTCCGTCAATGGAACTACCGCAACCAGTTGCACCTAGCAAACTCGTAGTATGGCTCCCGGATGTGAAGAAGCACCATTTGCTTAATTCTGTAAGCGGGAATTGCGAGTAGGTCAGGTGCGGGAATCCTTGTTGCTTCGGCACGGCCTTTCAGCAGCTGCACGCGACAAACATGCCTTTATACACGACGTTTCAGACAACCAGGTGGACGTGCTAAAGACAGGTGGTGGGAACCGTGGAATTCCGAACGCAAGCAGGTTTAGGCTTCACATGGGGCGGAAACAGCCGCATGTGAAAAACGGACTTTGCTTTCTTTTCGGTTTACGAACCTTCGCTGCCCCTTCAGTTTCCCTTCGAAACTACCTCCCAAAATCGCGCACCATCAAAGAAATAGCACCCAACCGCGTAAGGCAACCGCAAAGCACAAGGACCAGCCAGAGACGACAAAAGTTCAGCGGCATCATGTCTTGTCCCTTTTGCTTGGTGTTGACTTTTCTGCCAAAAAGGGTCTCAAAAAAGCGATGCTAGAACAATTCCCTTATCAACAAACCATAACTCACTGGACATGGAGCGGGCAGAGACAGCTGAACTTCGAATGTGTCATGGGTCATAGTCATGACTTTGATAGGAACCCTTGCAATGGTTGTCTAAAGTCTGCAAAGGGCCGATGGCCATCCCAAAACCCGAGCAAGCCCAGCGGGTCTTCTGAGCATGGACCACCACCAAAGTGGTGGACTCGGCCGCCTCACTGCCTCCGAGCAGCCAAAACTCGCGCGCTCAAGGAGTCCATCTTGCCTGAGATTGTCACACGCCCGCATGCCAAGGTGCCAAGGCCGAAAAAAAATGAAACCAAAAGGGGAAAATCAATATATACATATATATAATCAAATATATATATATATATATTTCTATAATCATGCTCGTTTGGAAGTCCTGGGGCGCGCCTGGGTGCAGAAAGTGGACCCTTCTTTCCCTTTGAAAGGCCCGGCTCTGGGGCCCAGAGCCTTGGGCCCACAAACCATTTAGCGGACCATTTTGAGCACGGGCCCAGTCGAAAGGCACGGAGAATTGTCCCATGTTCCAACCTCACTCTCATAGAAACCATCTATGTTCCATTCTACAACTTGGCAAAATACCCACCAAAACCCAGTGATTTCCTGTAGACTTCTCGCAGGTTTTGCGTTTCGCGGGCTCTTAGACCGGGGCGCACCATGTCTTCATCCCGCCCTCCGGGTAGCCATCCGCAGCTTCTTCGAACTCCAGCAGCGCATCGGTGGTCGCGCCGATGTCTACCCACCTGGGGCCATGGAAAAGACGCGACCAGAACGAACCTTGTCATACGCAGGACTGGCCCCATTATTTTGTCATTATCAAAGTCACCCCCTAAGTGGTGTGTTAAAGGGGAACCACCCCCGTTCTGACTTTGATGAGCCCTAAAAACAGTCAACATAATGGCCCCTGGTGGACGCTTGCAAAATCGGCTCACACCTAAGAAACCAGGGCTCAGAAACCAAGGGAGGTTACGGATCGATGGCATTTACGTTGGGGAATCGAAGCGTTCCAGGCGTTCGATTCGGGTGCTGCGAAACGGATTTTGCAACCATCCACAGTACTTTAAGGAGCCAGGAGGTTGGGGGGGGGGGGGAACTACCAACTATATCTATCTATCTGTCCGTCTGCCTGTTTGCTTGTCTAACACAAGTATAGTTTACACAAGTATCTGTTATATGATTGACAAGCCCTCAGTTGATTGTAGGGGGTATCCAATTAATTGAAGAAGGGCTCCTTCTTTATATATATATAATATATATATAATATGTATTTACTTAAAAACATGCTCTGTTTGCGTGCGATGATCACTCCCCTCTCCTCTCTCCCCTTACGCCATCCCCATAGAGCCAAGGGTTTTCTGGGATAGCTCGCGGGGCTATGACACAATCAATGCGAATCAATATATAAGCCAGCGGGGGGAAACTAGAAGAAAGGATTGCCAGCTTCCAAGCTTCTGCTCATGCGAGTCAACGGCACCGAAATGCACCAAAACAACTAAACATTATAGATTTAAGATGTGCCCCCGCCCCTCGAAGCAAAGAACAGCTGGATGAGTTGGGCGGCAAGCCGCATCAAGGCATAATTGCAATCCAACACTTGAAGCCTCCCCCCTCAAGTCTTTTTGGGTACCCTAAGCATCCCAAGCCTGGGCACGCAGGCCAACGTGCTGGACTTTAACTTTGGATTTTCCACGAGTGCTGTGCTTTCGCGGAAAGCGGCGGGCGACAGATGTGAATGTGAACATGTGTGCATGTGAACGTGCGCGTGGAAACGCGCTGGCACCGATCGTGTCTGACTAGTCTAGTGGGGATGCTTCAAGCGTGGCCTGCAAGAAAATGCCTTCAAGCGTGAGCATTTCAGAGCCAGCCACTCTCAAGAAGTTCATGTTCGGACATGTTGCCAGTTCACAGTGCAGTGGCATCTGTGTCTAAAGAGGGGAGCCTCCAGAAATGGAAGGCCATTCCTGCTGACTTCCATTCAACATTTCAGGCTGAAAAGGGTCCAAAACACACATTTCAGGCTGGCTGTCTTGGCCCTTCATGCGCCTCGCAGCTCAGCCGAGCGAAGGGAAGGAACGGCGAATTGCAAGTTGATTCCGCTGATGCGGTTGCTTCCCGGAGTGGAGAGCGTCCATCATTCATGAGATGTACGCCCACCTCAAACATGCCTGTCAAACGGGGCTATCCCAAATTTACAGATTCGCTTGGGACAATACTCAAATGAGTTTGTTTTTTCGGCTTTCCACGTTTGCTCATTGTTATATTGCATGGGATTCGAGCTCACTAATTCAAGGCTAACACACTCTCACCAAGGCCCTGCACTTGGGGATCCTGAAAGGCTCGCCTTTTAGTTCCAAGCCCTGCTTCGGGCAAGAAGGAATGGGTGCATCCTGAAGGGATCGGAATTCTCAAACTTGCTTGCTTGCTTTTTCTCTTTGGTTTCCCTTTCACTACCATCAAAACAAGTGTCCAGGTCAAAAGATGTCAGCTGTGTCAACTCTTTTTCTCAAATTTTGCTCAGCTGCCATCCCTGGAAGAAGTGCCTCTTCCGGATGCGCCCATCCACAGTGTCGCCTGCACTTAGCTGCTCCGGAGGTATCCTGTCATGTCGGTTGACTGGCCTCTTGAGAAGCCAAACGCCTGTGGCAACACAAACACCAACTGCTTCACATCCTTGCCGCTGGATGGATTTCGCCTGATTTCCCTCTAAACAACCACAACAAGGTCACCCCCACTTTCACATGCAAAAGAGGCTGCCCTCAGCTCAAGCTTTTCAGCCTGCATTTGGCGCAGGTGACCTGGAAGACACTGCCAGCTGCGGGATCAAGTGACCAACTTTTGGATGTGACCATTCATGGAACCTATCACGGGTCTGAACTTAAATGTCCGCTGGCTCCGTCAAAAGGACCTCCCCGTCAGATCTAGTCAGGGTCTTTTGTTCCACGTGTTTTGACCTATGGTCAAGCGTCTGCCCACGTGCCGAAGCAATTTGTGTGGAGACGCGCCCTTCACGAGGCTTCCCAAACAACATATTTGAACATCCGAAGGTCCACACTCGCCTTGAATGCAAGACGCTCAGCCCATAACAATGTTCATCCCAACGTTTCACTATGGATGTGGCTCAATAAAATCAACACCCAGGATTACGCAGGTCTTAGTCTTGGTTTACCATTTTGGGTATTCCATATTTTGAGCCACAGCCATATATCATGAGGGGCTTCTTCAAACAGAACAGCGCAAAAAGTTATCACTTCCGCAGTGGACCGGCACAAAAATATCAACCTTTTTACTTTCCACCAAAATGGGATTGCCTAAAAAGCTTAGAAGTCCAGGAACTCGTCAAGTGAGAAAGTGGGACCCACATGAGACGCTTCCATCTGGATCTCGTCCTTTTCTCCATCGAGAAGCTCCATCCGGCGCCCAGCGCTAAAAGCACCTCGGCTCTCAGGGGCAGCCAAAGACTCCACACCCATCGGTTCTTACCAAACGTCACCTTTTTAGCTAAGAATAGATGGGCTTCCCAATGCATGGCATAAAACCAACCTACACGAGTGGAGCCCATCCATTTCTGTCACCAAAAACTGACCGATCAGAAGGACACCTTTGCTCCTTATCTTTGGCGAGTTATGGAAACCAAAACCCCCTCATGCTCAAAGGACGCCCCTTCCTGCGTCTGGGATCGGCACCAGGGCCTTGCACGCGCGGCTCAGCTTCATGGCGGAATGGGGTTGGAACGGCCAGCCGGCCTTTCGCGCGCGCGCGCCCGCGCGGGGGCGCAGGGCGTTTCGATTGGCGATCTCCAAGGAGCTCTCGGGGCAACGCCCGTGTTCCAAGTGAAATCCTGGCAAAAGGGCAAAAGGACCTGGACCGTGCAACTTGGGCAACTCAGCAAAACGAAACGCCGTGAGCCCCCGCGATTCCGGAAGGCCTTTGAGCCGTCTGCGCAACTCGCAAGGAAACCAGGGTTCATTGTGGGAAATCACTTGTTTAATCGTTGATTTGAGGTAAAGCGTTCAATCCCTGCTCATTTGCTCGTCCCAATCAGGCCAAGCAACCACGCCCGAGTTGCTGCCAAACCAAAGGCAGCAGCGCAGGCCCTTTTGCGCCTTTTCACGCCAACCTACCCCGTGGCGCTGACTGTGTGGGTGAGACCAAATCAGAGCCATGCCACTGTCCCGATGGTTTATGCCTGGAAATTAGACTTTTGCCAACAAAATCTGGGCAAAGTGCTTGTGGCATAAATTGGGCAAAGCAACATTATAATAGCTTCCTGCTCTGCCAGCCAACCCAAACCCTTCACAAGCTGCTGCTGACTTGGCCCGGGTTATGGGAACCCGGGATTACTAAACGCATCTAAACGCCTGGTTGATTAATAGGGGGGGTGTCGCCTTTTAGTGGGGGGTTCGACCACGTTTGGAGGGAACACCCCTCCTTTTAACAGAAACGGGCTTATGAATACGGGGTCAACACTTAAGGCTAGTTGCCGGCATGAAATGCCACCGGAACCTTCTGGAGCGGAAGCCGGAAGCCCTTGGCTCGTCCATTAGCCATCAGGCCAGGCACTCCTGCGAGACAAGCTGACATGGAAGAAGCTCGTGGGAAACATGGGGCTCAATGAGGCGTCGGGCAGTGAAGCTAGATGTCATTGGTAATGTTTGCTGGGAGTGATTGTTGCTTTCTGCATACACGAATATTCACCTCATTTGGGTCTTATTCCCTCCTTATGATCCTGAAAGAAAAGGGAGAAACTCTTGTTGCAACTTGGTTCTACCTTGAAACAGGCTGCAACGGTTCACGTATGCCTGTTGACACTCCAACTGTGAGATGCACGCATCTCGTCGACACAACCGTTTCAATCATCTTTGACATCTGATCTCAGCCAGGTTCCTCAACAAGTGCCTCCAAGAACCACCTGCTTGACAGGCTGGTGGTGTTTCAACCGGCCCAATTGTCTCCTTTGAGGGAGGCTTTCGGTTTCTGTTTGCCTCAGGCAGCATGTCATGGACCGCAGCATGCAAATGACCCCCGATGCACGCCCTGCTTGTCTCCGAAGGCAACAGAACAAGCATTTCCACGCAACGAGTGGAGGACAAAAGCCACGCGCTTCGCGGGGTGGGGGGATACCTCTGGATGAGCATAGGATCAGGCCCCAAGCAGGATGCAATCGGCCATTGTCCCTCCCAATACTGTGGATGGACGAAATCCTACACCACTTTGAAGCCATGGGAAGCCATTGTTTGTTGGTATTGACAGTGGAATCATTGAATCATCGGAAACCTGGGTTTCTTAGGTGGTGCAGGATTTCGGATTTCTTAGGTGGTGCAGGATTTCGGATTTCGTCCATCCATAGTAGGACCCCCCCCCCCCACACATGCCCCAAAGGCCGAGGGGCCCCACGATGACCATTCCCACCGCAGGATTTCGTCCCTCCCCATAGCCCTCCAAAGCTGTGAATCGCCGCTTCCCCGTCCTCGCGTCCTTTCGCCGCACGCTGAGTCTCAGCTGCTCCAAAGTGACACGGTCCTGCCTGACGGGTCGAGGGCGGTTTGATGGACAAGACGAATCAATGAAAAATACCTCGTATATATTGCCTCCGCACGGTAGCATAAAGGCGTACATGCAAATGACAACAAAATATCCAAAGAAACATAAGTGTCAATGTGAATGTGAACATATACATGTAAACATACATCTACGTGTAAACTTTAATTATTCTCGCTCTCACCCTCTTCCTCTGCGCCAGGATGCGGAACACACACACACACACCCGCATGCATGAATTATACAGCTTATTTGTACATGTACTAAAACTGCGTGCAACAGCATCTACATTTACATAACTTAGGCTCAGGTCAGACAAATGCGGAGTTGTCACATCCTTTGTTCTTGAGCCATGCCGGCCGTGCCTTCCCCAGAAAAGAAACACGGCCACGCGCACGAATCTGTATGGCGACCCCTGTTGCAAGTGTTTGCGGGCTGTGGGTACATTGGGAAGGAGGCAACTTGGGCTCCTGCCTTCAAGTAAAATTCCCAGCGCTCAGTCCCAAGCCTACCGCAGCCTCTTTCTTTGCGTCATTTCAATGACCTTCAAGAAAGGCTTGGGGGGGGGGATAATAATACTCACGTGAAACAACAGTTCTGGAGAATAATCAATGCCATGACTGCTTCATCACTTCAAGTAGATTCGAAGTGGCAACCGAAGCCTCGTTTTTAGCCGGTGAAACCTCCACCTGCGGCCCGAAGGAACTTCCGCCCTGCCTGGTGGCCTGTTCCAACCTTTGCTCCTCTTGTTGCGCCCGCTGACGTCGAGCCGCCGCCTGCTGCGCCTGGCGCAGAACCCATCTGTCAGAACCTGTGGGGGGACACCCAACCTTCCTTCTCCTCGATGGTGTCAAAGGGAAGCACACATTTTGGTTGGTGTCAAAGGGAAGCAAACAGCGCAAACAGGAACAGCTCTCATTTCGATTGATCGCATCACCCACATGCGCATAGTGCAGGAAACATCTTTTCGGATGACTAATTTGAGTGGAAAAACCCTCGCGGGTTCATGGGCCAATGCTCCAAGAACCTTTGCCGGCTGGCTGATGGGCTTTCCTGACCTTTGCAGCCCGCGCCTCTTGTTGAAGCCGCTTGATCTCGGCTTCGCCTGGAGCCCGCTAGCCGCATCCCACCAGCATTCATGCGGAGCGCTTGCAGCAAGTGCCTCGTTGCTAAACACAGGCTTGGGGACGAGTGGGAGCCCCCCACTTCTGTACCAATGGACAGCCTTCCAAAAGAATCCTCCACATAGGGGGAAAACTTGGCGTTCCCGCCCCCCTGGGCCCAGCCCATGCGTTTGATCCTGGTTCGTGTAATGAACCTGAACAATGCTTGAATACCAACAGGAGGGAACGGCTCCTTGGTATCATTCAAGCTCCTCTGTAGCAACCCGTTTTTAGCAACCTACACCCTCCTTTCAAATTTCTGAGCTTCCAGACCATTTTCTGTCACAACCGCATCTCTCCATTTGCTTAGTGCAACCATGCCGCTCTGTCTCTTTTTTGCAGGTTCGCTTCTTGGTTGCCTCAAAGGGCAAAACCAAATGAACAAACTTATTGCTGGGATCCCCCTATTTACGATGAATCCATGTGCCCACCCCCCCCCCCCCGGCAAAAAAGAAAGAAAGAGCACATACATAATCGTTTGTGGTTTCTTTTTGGCTGGTGTCCCTTCAAAGACTCCATCTTAAAAAAGGGGGCGCTTTTCCTCCAAAGCCGACACATCACCCCATGTCCCCCCGCGTCAAAAAGCAAAAAAGCCCCTCCTTGGTCCACCAGCGTTTGGTGCTCCGCCACCAGCCGGCGCCAGCTGCTGCGTCGCTCCTCCGCCGCCCGCCGCTGAGCCTCCTGACGGCTCGCTCGCGCGAGATTTGGGGGGCAAAGCCAGCGGACAAAAATGCAACGTAGTAGCACAAACTAAGGGGGCCCCACAAGCGCGAAACGGAGATGAAAAGGACAATGAAAGAAAATGGAAAGGAACATGATTGAAAATGAAGGAACATGAAGGAACATTAAACAGGAAATGCAGCAGAAAAAGAAGCACAATCAACGAAAATGAAAGAACATGAAAAGGAAACTGAAGCAAAAGAGGAACATGAAGGAACATGAAGAGGAACATGAAGGACAATGAAGCACATGAAGCAACATGAAAAGGAACATAAAGGAAAATGAAGGAACGCGAGAAGAGAGATATGATATATACATATATGTAAATCTGTGTACACACACACATATATATATATATATATGTTCGCGCCCATAGTACCCGATAACATCTACGGTATTCCTGCATCCAGACTTCTGCTTACTCTCATGTAATTGCGGTGTTACTGACAATGCTTACAGATTGAATCGTTGGCCAAAACCGGTTGCTCCAGAAGGGCGGGGTGCGTGCGTGTCGCAATCTGCAACGGGACACCACTAAAAAGGGAAATCCATCTACCTCTGGCATAAGGATTCAGGATTGAGTTGAAGCAGGTGTTCGTGTGTCTCCACATAGGGGGATCAGGCAACCGCAAAAAAGCGTGTTTTTTTTTTGGATTTGGACTTGAACTCCTGGATCTTGTAGAGTTTAAAGGGGAACCCAACCTCTCCACCTCCAAATTACCAATCCAAGCTCCAAAGCTCCCCACTCGGTCTGTCTCCTTCTCCGCCTGTGCCTCGCCCAGTTCCTGTCTGAAGCCCTCACAGCGCTCAAGCATCTCCTGCGCAGATGCTGGGGGGTGGGACATGGCAGGTGATGCGAACTCGGGACTCATATTGCCCTGGATTGAAAGCGCGTCGTGTCATGTGTTGGAAGGAATCCATGGCTTTTGGAGGAAACACCGAAACACCCGTATTGACCCACCAAGTATATCAATCTGTCAACATTTATCACCGCGGACTCGGATGCCAATTCATCGCAAGATAAACAAGGGAAACCCATGCAATTCTTCGCAATCCGCAAGCTTGGTTGCCGTTGTCGCCTTTGCAAATAGTTGAACACTGTTTGCGGGTTTGATTCGGAAAACCCCAAAGATTTATTTGTCGCAAAGGGCTAACCAGGTTTACGGCGGTTGGGTGTGGCCCTGTCTCAAAGGCACAAACTGCCCCCCTCGAGGCCGCTCTTCGGGCTGTGTTTCCAACATCATTTCTATCAATGCTACACCCTGCCGCGCACATGGAGAAACTGAATGAAGGTCCACAGGAAAGCCCGTTTATGGTGGTCCCATGCGCAAAACACACTCTTCAATTCTTGAGTGAAATATGAGGGTATCCAAAAAGTTAAAGTCTAAAGATCCAACCCCAAGCGGTAAAGAATTACACAAGTGATGCGCTAGGAATTTGTCAGGGGAGATCTCGGTTTGCGTCTTTCCGCGTAAACTTTGAGTCACCAGTAACCCTGGCAAACGAGTCTACCCACTCATGATACCGAATCACAACAGCAATCTCCGCATCCATTTCTGGTTGGGACGCTCAACCTGCGTTACAACTACAACCATCGAGTTCTGGCTCTTACCCAAAGAACCTGCAACCCCCTGAGTAAATGCAGCCCAAAATTGGGAAACCCCGAGCTGTCGAAATGAGCCGGATTGCAGTAATTAGAGCTGAATCAGGCATCATCCCACGAAATGGAAACTCAATTTTGCCTGGCTCAGAAATGTTCAACACCACCAATTCGGGAATATTCAACCCCCCCACCCCAACACAAAAAACAGCAACAGAGTTTTTGAGCTTTCTGGAAGCCCCTTTCGAACCCGGCTTTCAAGCGAAACTATTGTAGGACACCAAATATGCTATTATCCTTATATATTTAAGTATATCTAGCAAATATGCGGATGTCTAAAGCAAATCCTTGGAGATATGCACCTATATCTATATATTAAGATATGTCTACATTTATAGGACATATACGCACACACACACACACACATATATATATATATATGTAACTTAAACTAGGCTGCATGAAGTATCTCCCTCATTTTCGTTTTTGCTCCTCGCGCCGGCGAAAATCGACACGTTTTGCGATTTGATCGGCTGGGGCTTCGGGCCAGGTACCGCGTTCGGAGCTCGGAGAGGTGCAGCTGCAACTGGGTGAGGTCGCTCAACTGGGCCTGGCCAAAGCTATGGAGTCATCAAAACCTGATACAACCTTCAAAGAATCAATGGTTAACCTTTTGAGGGCCACCAAAAAAGGTTGCCAACATGAGAAACCAAAAGGTCAAAAGGTCGAGTCGATTCGAACCATGCAAAGACATTGAACTTGCTGCTGCGATAGGGAATGACCTTCATCCGGGTGGGAATCATGAACCGGAAGGGGATTCCATTACAGGAAGTCACAAGGTACAAACATGGACCTATTTCTGGTTGAGAGTCCGAGTACACAAATGGACCTCAAGCCATGTCATACCAAGGCGAATGGATTCATTGGTTGGAGTGTCCCTTCCCTCACTTACCCGGGTTTTGATCCGAAGGAAATAACCATCAAAGGTTAGCCTTTGGGGGGCCGCCAGAAAAGCTTGCCAACATGAGAAAACGACAGGATAGAAGGACAAGTCGATTCGCTTTCTATTGGTTGGGAGTGTCCAATACCTTCATACCCGGGTTGTGTTTTTGGCTGACTTGCCCAAAGGACCGAACAATAAAAGATTAACTTAGCCTTTTGGGGCCACAAGCAATGGACTGAGGTGGGCAACTTTGGGGCTAAAAGGATTTGCTTTGGGCAACTCAGAAACAGCACAACCCCCTTGTTTTGGCGGGTAGTTGGGGTGGCTTTTTGGAGGTGGCTTTGCAGGTTTCTGGAGTGGTGTGAGTGGTTCTTGGAATCAGCTTTGTTTTTTTTGACGGGGGGGTTTTGCTGCGGGTGGTTTCGGGCCAGTTCGTGGGGAAGACTGTGGAGTTCCAAAATGTGAAAGAACATGCTCGGTGAAGCCAAGGAATCGAAACATGCTCTTCTGCAAGGCTTCTGCATGCTTTGCCCTGAGCATAGCTGACCCGGGGGATCCCAACAGATTCCGCCTTTAGATCTGAAAGGGTTCCGGGGGTTCTATATCACCGGGTCAGGGTTGGGCCAAATCCTTGTTACACGTTTGAGCCACTGTTGTTTAAACAACCTCCGTGGTTTCCCTTGACAAAAAAACTGTGCTACATGCTTCCAAAGCCCATGGAGAAAGCCCAGGTCAGGCCCGCCTTCTCTGGCAGATCGCCGTCCTGTGACAAAAAAACATCGATGGAGAGCCCAGAACCTAGCAAAGCGCCTTGAAGCAAGAAGCAAACATGCAGCCAGACGGTATCTAATCCTCAGCTCCAACTGGTTGAACAACGCAAAGCTAAGGCCCCCTTCCATACATGACAATGAGTGAACATGTCGGGCAAAGCTGATTTGACAGAACTTTGTTGGGGTCCGCTTCGTCTCCCCAAACCACCCCATAATGAGAACCCAGGATAAAACATTGAAAACACACACACACACGACTGTGGGAGTAGTATGGGGGTGTCTCGTTGCAAGAGGGAATTCTTTACTTTTTGGGGCAACACCTCTCTAAATCACCTGGGTGTGCTGCTTCGTGGTTGGCAGTAAAGGCTGGAAATGGTGGAAGCAGATCGCGCGAGCCCGCCCAACGTCCTCCAGTGACGCCGCAGTGTCCTGCAGCATCCGCAGGATGTCCTCCCGTTCGAGGAGGTGGCAGCGAGGAACGACCAAGGTGAAAGCAGATGCAACAATTCCCTTTGTGTGGGTAAGGAAAGGGGATGACTAATTCAACTTAGGGGAATAGTGCCATCTACTTTCACCCAACTGTAAGTGAAAATCCTCTGGTATCCTCAACACGCCCGGATTGGGACAATTCCCAGATGGTTGAGTCAGTTTCGTCCTCGCCTGCACACTGTTTTCCAGGAATTGGTCTTCAGCTACTCCTCCGCCCTAAGTGGCCCATAGTACCAGAGTCACCCGAGTGGTTTGAAGGGCGCAGCGGAATCCCTCTCATCTTCTGCAAGTAGGTCTCCACAAAGATCGTCGTCGGGTGGGGTCTATTCCTGCTTTGGATGGTCACAAGGTCAAATCCTGTCCTCAACTTGGTTCTGCTGACCTTGAGACGTCGTGTTCCCAGGAACCACCCCGCTGGACTTTGCGCCTCTCCCGATTCGATGAATCGATTCCGACCAATAGGCGCCCGATGTCCTGCTGCGCCTGGAGCTCTTCTCGTGTGGGCTGGCGCTGCGACTGCGGTCGAGCGGGGGCTCGGGTAAATCGGGGGAGTGGGGGGCGGGTTCTGGAAAATCAATGGGTGCGAATCCCGTTTGGTCCCTTGGAGAAATCGTGCGATTTCGGGCGGTGCTAGATTTTTCCGACTTTGCTTGCTCAACCAATTGGTTGCCCTGTTTGATTCATCTTTGGGGACTGCCATGGGTGGCCTGGAAAATCAAGTGCCAGCGACATATCCGCGTCAAATGGCCCCAGCCATTCTGAAAACCTGGTACCTGTTGGCATCCTTTTAGGCGATCCGGGCGACTTTGTTTACCCCCACACTGCCAAGTGATGATTCAGGCTTCCGCCCCCCCTCCGGAAAGGTGAACAATCCCCTTCAAACTGGGAACAACTGCCAAGTGCAATCTGGTAGGTGCGCTTCTGATCCGATGTTGCGCAGGGGAAATCCCGTGGAAAGCACCGCGGCTTCTCACAGCATATGGGCCACGGAACTCAAACGGGGATGCCCTCGTAGAATGCTTTTGAGCTGTTAGCTAGTTCCTCTTGCAACCGCAGGGCATTCAGAAGCCCCCCTCCAAACCACCGAGCCAAACAGCCAATCGATGGTGGTGCAAGCTTAACGACACCACACAACAGCGCACGGGCTGAAAGGACACTGAGATCTTCAAAAGAGGGTCTAGCAAAATCAGAAGAATCATATGCAGAGGACTCAAATCGGTTGGGACGTTTTTACACAAAAATAACAACTCTAGGTTGCACTCTCCCTCTCTTGGGTTAGCCAGTGGCCCCCAAATACTTGTCTGCGGGATCACCTCCTGGTCCCGACCCGCCTGCGGCTGGCCGACCTCCACATGCAACCCAAGGAAGATACAAACAACAAGAGGGGATACTACAATCCGCTTCCATCCAAGTCTGGTCCCAGATCCCTCGCGTGGTTTGGTGGAGAAACCTAAGGGCATGGCTGGGAACCAAGAATTGGCGCCGCCTTTGAAAGCAAACCAACGGGGCGGGAAAAAATCAAAAAAAACACACACACACACAATGTTTCTACCCTTGGCGCTTGGCTTGCGATGTCTTTCAGGCTTCCCGTTGGGTGAAGCAGCGATAAACTTCACCATTCAGCACGGCTCACACCCCACCGTGGCCAAGGCGCAGCTTGCAAACACCATGTGCCCTTCAGAGTCTTTTGCATATGTGAATGCACATGTGTTCATGTGGCTACGCAAATATGTAAATGTAAAAGTGTTCTGGTTTGTGTATGTTTGTCTATTTCACTAGTGTTGTCGCACTCATTGTGCCTTTTTTGTGACCCGCGCCGAGTCTACGTCCCGCAAAAAAGCTGCCTATTCAAAACGTACTGCACAGGTATGGGGGGCCCAATAGGAAGAGTGGACAGTAGGGAATGAAGGGCACCCTGCAACTTGCCGCCAGCTAGCTTGTGGGGTTTGGTCGCTCACCTGCAGAATTTGGAGGGTTCCAATGTGCCCTTCTTGAAGGCAGACTCAAAGGGAAGCCACCAATTTTTGGGAGTTCCCATCTTTGGAAACAACCCAACTGAGGGTTGTTCGAAAAGGGAAAGCCTTTTTTTGCAGGGAATCAGCGACCGACCATGCCTATGAGAATGGACAAATCGAACCCCATGAGCCCATGCAGTCAGCATAAGTCAAACACCATTGCTGCCTTGCCTCTGAGGATTGTTGGGTGTCTGCTTGCTTCCGGACTCTGATACCTCTGCCATTTAGGATTAAGGCAAGGGCACTATTCCGCAAGGATGATCTAACCTAAATGGGGAGGACTCCTTTGCGACCCCTTATCTTTTTCGCATGTGCCGCCCCCCAATAAGTCCTTCAGCCATGGTGCCTCAAAAGGAACCTTGCATTGTCTAGAACCCCATCACGAGGTTGATGACCACCTCCAAGCACAAGGGATCTTAAGTCTTGTGCCCATGGCACTAAACAAAACCAAAAAAGGGAACTCTCCCAGCAGTGCTTGGTGCACATAAATCCTCCATCTGCATACATCCCCAACCAAGCGGATGTCAAAGAGTCTTCCCAGAGGACTCTCCCCCTCCGACAACGCCGCCCCTCCGACCCCTCGTCCGTCGGATCGAAGGCCGGCCTCGCACGCCAGCTGGCGACGCAGCTGCGCGATCTGCCCTTCCAGCTTCGCCAAGGTGCCTCGCAGCCAGGTTTGCAACCAGCGGCAGACCCGAAGGGAACAGCGTCCGGCTTGGGTTCAACAAAAAGGGATCTAGAGGGTGCGACTGAGCAACAGGGCTTGTTCAGGTTGAATTTCCCAGAACGAAGCAACCTCAGCAAGAATTGAACTTCCAGGTTGAACAATTTGCTAGCAGTGAGCCGAAAGCATTGAAGTTGTCCTGACCCCAATCGTGCAGAAACAGAGACCCTCTCAAGCAGGATTGCGGCGCAAATAGGTTAGCCACACTCCTGCAAACAAACATGCAGCCCTGAAAAACAACACTTTCAAATGACCCTCCTTGTTGAGGGGAAGGACATGTTTTTTCGAGTTCCATCAATTAATATGCAGGAGGTAACCTCATCTCCGAAGCCGCGGCAAAGGTCCGACCTCCCGCCTGCCACATCTGTTGGCCGCTTCGCTTCTTGGCCTGACAAGTTCCGGTCGGCTGCTGGCAGCTCCATGCTCCATGTACTTCTGAGTCTCCAGCCCTCCCACTAAGAAAATAAACATAACCAACAAAGCAAAAACAAAGATGTCACCTTGGCCAGACTTAGGCCCACTGGAGAAAGACGAAGCCCGCACACACACACACACAGCCACACACACAAACACGCTCACTTTTTGCTGGTTGAGCAAAAACATGAAGGAAGCCCAAAAGGGCAAAGGGCAACAGGTTGCTTAAGCCTTTCAATGCAATTAAACATACCCAGGACTATGAAGCAACAAGCCGAAGCCCGGCAATGCCGAAAGATTTTGTCAGCGGGCAAACGCCCCTCAAGATCAGGTTGAACAACGTCCCAAACATGTCGATTTTCTCCACCTTGCTGCCCCATGCAGTTCCAAGGTCTAAGACCCGGAAGTGCCTAACCTCCTTGGACGAGCCACACCTTCCGGAGCAAGTTAGCCGAAGTCAATGGACATGCCCTTTGGCGTGAGTGCCACTACCCCCCAACCTCAATCCCATCAGACAGAAAGAGGTCCGGGTAGATCTGGCGCCGACGCCAACCCACGTCTACATTCCTAAAGATGTAGATCTCTGTGTGTGTTGCCTAAAAACCATTTATGACACATGACTTATGCGTATAGCAACTACCAGTGGTCTATATGATACCGCTACCTTCCCATGGCACCAGAGGGGCAATGCGCAAACAGGGGGCCTGGTACAAACTCCAAAGAAGCAATGCTCTTTCGGCTTCCTTCAGCGAAAATGAGCCATGTGCTGTGGATGGACGAAACCCATTTCGCACCACGGGAAACCATTGCTTGTTGGTATTGGGGAATTATCAGAAACCAGGGTTTCTGAACAGTGGTGCGAAATGGATTTAGCAACCATCCACTGAATTGAGCACCAAGTCTTGCTCGATATCCAAGTGCCATATTCTTGGGAGCCTCCATTGGAGACGTCCTTTGGGAGATCAGATTCCAATTGCTTTTTTGCCCCTGGGAAAATTATGCCCAACAGCGATAGATTCCCTTTAAAACCAACAGGAAAAAACAAACAATTCTTTTTAGCAAATGGAAGTCCTTCTTCAGAGTTCCTGGCGGCAAATCGACTCTAGCTCTAAGCGTCCTCTCCAAGTGCTTGGCTGTCCGCCAGCCACTGGCGAATGCTGTCCGCTTCTTGATGTAGCGTCTCCACGCCTCAAAACAGGAGACGCGAACCCGCACGCTTTTCCGGTGTGTTGCCGTGCCGTATGCCATTTCCCCCTCGAATTCGCTTTGTTTAAGTCTGTAAGTTGTACATCATGTCCAAAACCTGAAAGAAGGGATCCCCAAGTAAAGGATCTTTACTAAGCCATGGTGAGCTCGTTTTACCCCCATTTGAGCTCGCCATAAATTATGCAGGCGGCCCGAAGTCGCTCCTGAAAAACTGAACCAGAGGTCTGAAGCCCGGCCGGCAACAGAAACTTTGCATAGCAATTCCTTGGGATTCTCACGGGGTTCCCACCGTCCGAGGCTTCCTTCCGGAGTCCGGCCGCAAGCTAAGAAGCTTTGACCGATGCAAGGCTTTGAATGGCAGGTCTGGGGACCCTCGCCCAAAGGATGTACCTCCAGATACTTGGCTTCAGAGGCAGGATTAGTTAGAGTTTGGAAGGCCAGTCCACTGCATATGAGGGCCCATTGAGGTTAGTTCTCCTTCTCAGGATGCAAGGAAACCCAAAGGAGAACCATAACTTCTTGTCACCTACCCATCTGGGTGTACACAAGCAGCCACCTGTCCGTCTTTCGGTCGGCTCCGTCTCGCATTCCCACCGCCGAGCGGCTGATCCCATCAGGCCACGCACAGCCCATCATGGCATCGCGGACACGCGACGCGCCCGGGAAGTTGTCAGCTATCCATTGCAACGTACGCTCTAAAAGCAGCATGGCACTCCAGCACTTCGTGGCCAATGCTCGACACTGTGCTCTCATCCGTTTGGTTGGACATTTCAGGGCGCTCATGGCTGAGATTGCTTTGTCGTTGTTGCTTGCTTGCTCGCTGGGTGATCGTCGTCACACCGGATGGCAGGAAGAATGGCAGGCAGGCTTAGCCACGTTGCTTGGAATCTTGGTGCTCTTTGTCTGCGACAAAAGCCCTAAAGCTGCGCATCCGGCGCGCGGACATCGCAAACACGGGCTCTTGTATGCAAAGGTGATCAACCGTTTGCATGCAAACACTGCTCTCAGACTCGGAGCACATGGCAGCCTTATAGTCAGGCCGGGACATTTTTGTGAGAGAATCATAGCGTCCGGCGGAGGCAAATGTTGGCAACAGCCAGCGGCTCCCTTCGCATACCTTCGCATAGTTTGGCTTTTCCCACGGCGGATCTCTCACCCGTCCGCTCAAACCTTGGCGATGCCGCGCGGAAAGGGGCAGGTCATGTGGAAATTGAAGAGGCGCCCTTCCAAATTGGAGGTTTGTTGCCTTACTTGCAATGTATTGAGTTGGCATCCACGGCGTCAGTCCCCACATATGTTTTGAGGTGTTGGCACGGGGCAGGGCAGAAACAGAAGGGTTCTTCGGGTAAATGACTTGTGGAACAGGTCTCATCGCCTTCAGATCCTTGCGAGGAATCTTGGGAAAGCCACCCTCCCACCAATTAACATGGAACCTGAGAAGACCATTTTCCCTTTAAAGGGACCCCGTGGCAGGTCCCATGGCATTCAATGGGCCCAATTAAACTCTATGAATGTCGAAATCCCTTCGCATCACTTTGAAACCAGGAAAAAAACAGGTAGGCATTTGCAGGGGAACCGAATATCATCCTGTTGGAATTCTGAACGGTGGTGCGAAAACTTCGCAGCCATCCACAGAATGCACGCGAGTGGGGCATGTCCTGCTTTCTTGCGCTGACCGGCTGGCGCAGCCCAAGGGCCGGGCCAGGATCTTCTGGGCCTGTCTGCAGCGGTAAAAGTCCGTCCGGTTCACCACCTGCCAGGCACCCTGATCAAGCACTCGCACTAAAGACTGAAACAAAACTGTTGGGTGAAGATAGGTAGCAAACCCCCCATATCGGTTTAGTGACTCCCTTCTCCCTTCATTGTACCGCGAAAAGAGAACTGCGCCATCTGTAGTGTGGTTGCCCTTTCGCCAGTTCTCATGGAAGTGCACGGCATGCCGGGAGCTACTAAGGCCCCTGTGCACTTCCATGATGGAAAAAGGGCAACGAAGGATGAATTGCAAGGAATGGCGAGAAATAGCAGTGGGCTCCCTCAGAGGTTCCTGTTGGGATGGATTCCTCAAGATGTGAGATGTGGGGCCACCTCGGATGAATTCAGAGAAGTTGATGATTGTTGAGGTGGCAACCTGTTGCAAAGGGAGCCCTTATTGCATCCTTGGCGCGTAGCTAATCAAGCTTTCAATCACCTGATCAGATCACGCCGCATCACGTTCGGCTGAGCAAAAGCATGCTTAAAAAGTGACATTTGCCCCACTCTCACGTAACACAGGTGTACAAAGGTGAGCAGTTCGGCGAGGCTTACATGGATCTGGCACTTGCCAATGGGCTAAGCCAACAAGGCAAGCAACCTCCACTTCATCATGGACTCCCAACCTCCCTAAGCGTAGGCAAAAGGCTGCAATCCTAAGTTGCAGGCTGGCAAGCCTCTGATTCCTTTGAGCAACCGCTAGAAAAACCCGCCTGGCCCCGTGCCTTTTTGACTCATGCGCTCGAAACGTCGAGCCGTGGAGAGCGAGCGAGTGGCGTTTGCCAGACTCGGTGCCCCCAACCGGACAAATGTCACCACCGATTTCGGTACGACTACTGTCTCCTCCAAATCCGCGAGGAAAATGTCCAAGTCGTCTGTGTGTGGGTCAAAAATAGGTAGCCAACATGGGTTGCCCTAGTAACTGCGGTCTCCTGGTTCAATTCTGACCCATGCCCATCTTTTTGGGGTTCCCAACACATCCCCGCAAGCTACAAGTGCCTCAGGGTTCTCAAGCTCCTGGATTCTGGAGGAGAGAGGCTATTGATTGGCGTCAAAGCTATCTTGCTGCTGGCATCCCCTTGGTTGTGCCCGGCCCCCCCCCAAAGAGAGGACCCCCAAAAGGCAACCCAACAGGAACCCTAAGCCCTGAGCCTATGAGCCCCTATTGGAGTCGGGGGGCGGGGGGCCGTCTTGAATAGGCTCTTGGTGGCAACCGGAACCTTCAACCACCGGTAAATGAGGCAACTTCGAGCTGAAAGCTCATGCAGAATTGATGAAACCATCCCCTCAGGTAGGGTGGAAGGGGGCACATTCTACGTTTAACTGTTCCCAGAAAAGTAAAGCTCCAAATAACTTCTTCGGTCGACATGCTCCCCTTCACCAATTCCATTAACTGAGTGGACTGGCCGGATCAAGGTCTTTTGTCTGGCCTCAGAAACCGGAAGACACCAACAAACAGCTTTGAGCTGCCAGGTGTTCGCCACGACGTCTTTTCTGTTTAATGCCTTTGGGATCCGCCACTGCGCATGGACGAAATCCTGCACCACCTGAGATACCCTGTGGTTTCACAGTGGTGCGAAATGGACTTTGTTGAGGAAACATCCAGCTGGATAGTGCCAATTCAGTTTGGGGTGCCAACTCATTCCCGCTAAGAAGCAGCAAGTAAACAATCTGAAAGGATGCATCTAACAAAACACTTGAGGGGATCCTCTAAATCAGCTGGTATTTTTAAGGGTACCCCTTGTGGGGTGGCCCAAGGGACACCAAAGAAACTTTTGGGGATCCCCTGCAACTGTTACACACGCTCACACACTCACACACACAGACCACATCACACCACCCGCACCCACACACGCGCACACACACACACACACACGCGCGCGCACTCGCCCGCACACGCACCCCCACCTCACCCGCCCGCCCACCCACCCACGCCCACCCCCACCCGCGCCCTAACCCCCACCCACGCACCCACATGCACACACGCGCGAAGAGCAAGTAAAACAAAGCCAGCCCCAACTCGACATTCGACTGACTCGGTCGAGCCGCAGTGATCTTCCCTGCGGCCACGCTGGAGCCAGTAAAGAGGCCACCCCCGTGCTGCCGGTCGTGGAACCGGGGCCTCGACGAGTCTAGCACCCTCGCCAAGAAATATGAGACTTGAGCCTCCAATAGGGGGTACGCCTTAGGTATTTACCTCGATTTAACTTGTAATTCGGGGTCTACCCAGGGGCCATGGTCCAGGGGCATGGCCATATGGGTTCGTCACTGCCATGAACTGGACCTAGGAGGATACGTGCAGGAATAAAACACCTGAGGATCAAGTCACAGAGACTAACCAGCGCATCTGTGGCCATCAGGTGGCATCTAAGCTGCGTCTGATGACATGACGTGCTGAATCCAGCAAGTTGCCCCGAGAACATGGCATGAGAGCTGGCTTTGCCAGATTGATCATATTGATCCGACCCTGCCAAAAGTGCTTTGGATAAAATGAAGGCGAACAGGGCCATAGCAAGACCACAGCGCCAAAGAGGCCAACAAGAAGGCGAGGGCAAATGGGAATTTTCTAGTTGGAAGCTCAAAATGGTTGGCGTCCTTTTGGCTTCCATGCATGTAACCACTCCACTCCTTGTTGGCGCACAACGCCCTTGATTGCAAGCCCCAAACGTCCTAAAGTTCCAAACCCTTCAAAATAAGTTGCTCCCCAAGTACCTTGGAATGACCCAATTAAACCATCAATCTTGTGGTTTCCTTTCTTCGGGAATCCCCGAACAGTTCAGTCCTAACACCTGGAAGGTCATTCCCTACCTGTCGCACCTTGGTGTGGTGAATTGCCTACGTCATCGCTTCCCGACCTGTAAGCGAAACGAGTGGCGCCAAAGGGTTCAGGTAGGACCCCTTCTCAAGCACCTTGCCCGCCACTTCCGCCGAGCTCAGCGTCCTGGACGCGTTTTTGCATTTTTTGTTTGGGCGGGGGCCTCGGTTGCAAGGAAAAAAAAAACGAGGAAAACCACAATTTTGAGGGGGTTCCCCCCCCAAGGGAACCTGAAAGAGGGTCTGGACAGAAAAAACATGTCGTGCAGGGTCTCCATTTCAGGTTCCAGTGCTTGGATTTGACATTTCCACGTTCACAAGCGTCAGGATACGAAAGCCGTATCCCCCTCTTTAAAACCGCCAAAAAAGGGTACCCGCCAAGACACATATGAAAACAAAAAACAGAATCGCCAAAAGTGACAAGCCCGCCCATTCGTGGGACCCTGGATTCCGCCCCCAACCCGTTTGTTGGGCCCATTAGCGCCGAATGGAGGCAAAGAAACCGGCTTCGGGGCGAAAACCGGGACCCTAAATCAGTATCCATGGAAAGCAACCGAGCCCTGAAAGTACTCTAAACCTCAACCAGGCAACTTGCCTATGGGGCAATGTCCCGCTCTCAGGGCTAGGAATGTGTTTCCAGGACACTTTCGTTTGGCCTCATCGCATCCACCTCCAGCTTTGTGGCCAGCTTCCGATGCCGCCGGGCACCCGAGCTGTGGCCTTGGGGAGATCAACCACCCCTGGGTTCACTTGGTCTCAGAGGGGCGTACCGCAGAGTGATCCAACTGGAGCCAGCCGAGCTGAAAAGAACCATGCGAAGTTGGTCAAACTCAGTGGAAGCTCCTGCTCGCCATTTTGCAAGGGCACCCTCCCAATCCACTCTCAGCTAAGGCTTCTCCCCAAGGGTTATGAACCGAAATCCTTTGACATAAGCAGTCTTGTTTGTCTGTCTGTTTGCTTGCTTGTTTGTTTGTTTGTTTGTTTGTTTGTTTGTTTGTTTGTGTGTTTGTGTGTTTCTTTGTTTCTTCGTTGGTCTATTGTTTCTTTTGTGTTTCTTCTGGACATTTTCCCGTGGGGTGGTTCCGTCCGATCCTGGGGCTCCCGAACTTTTTGGCCGCTCGAAGGGCACAGCGCAGGGCCAGTGGGGCTGGCGGCACGGCGCAGATCCCGACTCCGGTTGGGTGGTAGGCTGGTGAGAGGGAAACCTCCCTGATTTGGGGGGTACACTCCCTCAGACTAACATGGAAGCTCCCAGAAGGCCTCTGTAAATGGAACCAAGTCTTCCAAAGGGGTCTTGGGAGCTTCCATGTTGGCCTTGGGGAGGGCAAAACAGCCAATTTGTGCTTCGCCCTCTGAACTTTGCAAAGGCTGAAGCCAATCCCAATCCCTGCCCTATGCTCTCTGAACCGGGTAGAAAAAGGGAACCCTTTCTGGGCTGACCATTTTGAGTGGCGGAACACACCAAGCAAGAATGATTGGGGGACGCTGAATTACCGCGTATTGCAAGTGGAGTGCAGTGCTGTCTACACCGCCTGACAACCATTGCCTCTTTGGGGCTGACGAAATGATTGCTCTGGTCGTGGGGGTTTCCCCAAGTCGGGCCCCACCTTTCAGAATCGTGGGTTGCCTTTTCGTGTCTGCCATGGAACCACGGAACGGGAAAATCCGAAATGGAACAAGTGAATCTGCGGAATTTACTCTCAGCCCAGTCACCCAGAAAAACAAAGCTACCCCCTCTCCCGCTATTATGGCACGACAGGGGGGCCCTCCAAAAGGAAACCGATCTGCCAAGCATCCCTCAGGTGCCATGGCAACTTGGGAGGGCAAAAAAACCTTTCCGGGCCACGAAAAATGGTTGCCATGGGAAAACGAAAAGCTCCGATGCGGTCGATTCGCTTTCTGAGTCCTACCGCCGCAAATCCGAAATCCCCCGCCAGCCACGCGCCTTCGCCTCGTGCCGCCGACACGAACACTTGGACCTCGCAAGGCGAAGTCTGCCATCAGTGGCTCCGGTAGCATGTCCTAGGGGATCATGGAAGCCATCTCGAAGAAGAAAAAAACAACAGCTTGCAAAAGAAACGCAACAATCAACACCAGAAACGGAAAACAACCAACAAATATCTGTATCAGTTTTATTACCTCGCCCCTTGATGCCCCCGACCCCTGAGCTCAACACTTCCGAGAGCAGCT